ATTTCCTCCCTACTGCTGCTGTGCCTTGTGCTGTCCCCAGAGATGACTCGACTTGAGGATGCAAGTGATGAATCACCTCTACAAATTTGGGAAGCAAACCTGATGTCCCGGATGACAGGCCAAAGTATTGCACAGATATGACACAGGTATTTCTGAAGGTGGAATCTAAGCAGACCTACAGCAGACGGACCCTAGACATCCTGTACGAGGTGAGAATTTAATCAGGCGCAAGACCAGCACTAGTAGTCAGTGATTAGTGTGACTAATTTATTGCAAACTACGCGAGCTCCTTTAAAAAACAGGAGAAGATTTGACCATGAACTATGTAAGGTTATGTTACTCCTCCGGTAGGATTTCGTTGAATCATTGTCGGTATTCTGAAAAGTCGAAGGATTAGTTTCGAGTAAAGGGAGAACCACTGCTCTGCTTTTTAGTTCTTCATCCTTCTGTCATGCCTTTGATCTGCTGAAATGTTCACTGGTCCTTCCACAGCTTATAAATGAGCCTGCTATAAAGTAGTAGTCATAATTAAAATTTCTTCTAGATTTTCAGATCATTTTAACATTCGCGATTTCAAATCCGCATTCTAGAAGTCACATTTTTGTTTATTCAAAGAAAGTGTCACAGGCTAGCCACTGTCAAATAAGACATCTTATCAGCATGGAGGAGGAAGTTGTAATTACTTCCAGTGGCTCAGTTGTATGCGATAAAACGCAGGCGTCGTGTATTACGAAGGGTTAGCGCACCGCCATAACTACTCTGATGTTTGTAGGGTAGGAAGAAGAAAACTGTCCAAAATAAAAGCGATGATGCCACTACTTCCGATGTGAGGTTAGGAAGGGGTAGGTGGACACGCCCAGAGTTGGTTACTGCTGCGATTCATCAGAAGTTGGCCTAATTTTAACCACTACTAGAACATTCTAATAGGCCCTAATCTCTTACTCTCGTTCACTTTCCCCTAATGGTTAATATCAACTACAGGTAGTCACTAAATATGCTGGTGACGGCTGTAGGTTTAAGAGTAACTCAAAAACACCATGATGGGTTGAGAATAGAATCACTCTGATACCCCTTACTTGGTCGGCTCACTCATGAGCACATATGGAACACGTAGGTTGGTCATACTTGTAGATAAATAGAGACCTCCGCATTGAAGGACCTGCCACATGATTTCTCCAGTTGGCAACTGGTCAGTATGCGGCTGCACATAAAAGTGTATTTGGGTGCCCAATCTATCATGGCAGACGCCTTGGCACAGAGGTTCACTCACCCAGATCACGAATGTATTTTAATCGGTCTTATGAAAACGAGGCAGAGCAATCAGGAGTGAACCCAATTATAACGCTGTGACACCGTAAGTAGTGAAGTGCGAGCATTATTCGCTGTATACTAGCCACCACCAACTAACTGACTTATGCGCCTTTTCAGTAGTTTTCAGTTCCTTGACCTGCATTATTACCAAGATACCTCTCATCAATGAGTTATTCTTCAGCTGACCATCCGTTAAAATCCTCTTCAAAGATGGATAGAACCCGTTCACAGACGCACAGAATAGCCGGTAGAGTGGATTGTTGGCTGGTGGTGTCGGCAGAGCAGAGCGCCACACCACCAAGATGCGATGACCTCGCAGTGTCCGCGCGCTTCTTCGAACAGTGTCCAAACAAATTGCCAAACTCTACAAGGAGCAGGATACCACTCACCGTGTCCTTAAGTAGATTCTGCAATGGTATGTATACTGAGGGTAAAGTGAAGTTTTGATAAAATGTTTATTTATTTTCGTATACAAATATCTTCAAATATTCAAAAATGTCAAAGTCTCGAGGCATAAGCGTTAATTCACTCTCAACCTTGGTAAAATTTCACCTCGATGGCAATGCTTAGCCCTCTTTGGTTCTCTTGATAAAGAAATGTTAAACAGTATGTTGATTCCTTTTCACTATCTGCTTGGAATTTTAGCAGTGAAAACACATATTCCCCACTATTTTTTGGAGTAAGATGGGGCAGTAGTATTGAATGAAGGCCGAGTGGCGTTTAAACCACTTTCATATTTATTTTTATATTACAGTCTATCTATAGCTTGAGCATTCATATTCTCCTTACAAGTTAAAATAAAATAAATAGACCTTACTTAGGATGGGTAAGAAATCTGGTCTGATTAATGGGTATACTTAAGCTCGTTCCTTAATTACTTACCCACCTTAGGGTTCGATGGCAACCACAGATATGACACAGGTATTTCTGAAGGTGGAATCTAAGCAGACCTACAGCAGACGGACCCTAGACATCCTGTACGAGGTGAGAATTTAATCAGGCGCAAGACCAGCACTAGTAGTCAGTGATTAGTGTGACTAATTTATTGCAAACTACGCGAGCTCCTTTAAAAAACAGGAGAAGATTTGACCATGAACTATGTAAGGTTATGTTACTCCTCCGGTAGGATTTCGTTGAATCATTGTCGGTATTCTGAAAAGTCGAAGGATTAGTTTCGAGTAAAGGGAGAACCACTGCTCTGCTTTTTAGTTCTTCATCCTTCTGTCATGCCTTTGATCTGCTGAAATGTTCACTGGTCCTTCCACAGCTTATAAATGAGCCTGCTATAAAGTAGTAGTCATAATTAAAATTTCTTCTAGATTTTCAGATCATTTTAACATTCGCGATTTCAAATCCGCATTCTAGAAGTCACATTTTTGTTTATTCAAAGAAAGTGTCACAGGCTAGCCACTGTCAAATAAGACATCTTATCAGCATGGAGGAGGAAGTTGTAATTACTTCCAGTGGCTCAGTTGTATGCGATAAAACGCAGGCGTCGTGTATTACGAAGGGTTAGCGCACCGCCATAACTACTCTGATGTTTGTAGGGTAGGAAGAAGAAAACTGTCCAAAATAAAAGCGATGATGCCACTACTTCCGATGTGAGGTTAGGAAGGGGTAGGTGGACACGCCCAGAGTTGGTTACTGCTGCGATTCATCAGAAGTTGGCCTAATTTTAACCACTACTAGAACATTCTAATAGGCCCTAATCTCTTACTCTCGTTCACTTTCCCCTAATGGTTAATATCAACTACAGGTAGTCACTAAATATGCTGGTGACGGCTGTAGGTTTAAGAGTAACTCAAAAACACCATGATGGGTTGAGAATAGAATCACTCTGATACCCCTTACTTGGTCGGCTCACTCATGAGCACATATGGAACACGTAGGTTGGTCATACTTGTAGATAAATAGAGACCTCCGCATTGAAGGACCTGCCACATGATTTCTCCAGTTGGCAACTGGTCAGTATGCGGCTGCACATAAAAGTGTATTTGGGTGCCCAATCTATCATGGCAGACGCCTTGGCACAGAGGTTCACTCACCCAGATCACGAATGTATTTTAATCGGTCTTATGAAAACGAGGCAGAGCAATCAGGAGTGAACCCAATTATAACGCTGTGACACCGTAAGTAGTGAAGTGCGAGCATTATTCGCTGTATACTAGCCACCACCAACTAACTGACTTATGCGCCTTTTCAGTAGTTTTCAGTTCCTTGACCTGCATTATTACCAAGATACCTCTCATCAATGAGTTATTCTTCAGCTGACCATCCGTTAAAATCCTCTTCAAAGATGGATAGAACCCGTTCACAGACGCACAGAATAGCCGGTAGAGTGGATTGTTGGCTGGTGGTGTCGGCAGAGCAGAGCGCCACACCACCAAGATGCGATGACCTCGCAGTGTCCGCGCGCTTCTTCGAACAGTGTCCAAACAAATTGCCAAACTCTACAAGGAGCAGGATACCACTCACCGTGTCCTTAAGTAGATTCTGCAATGGTATGTATACTGAGGGTAAAGTGAAGTTTTGATAAAATGTTTATTTATTTTCGTATACAAATATCTTCAAATATTCAAAAATGTCAAAGTCTCGAGGCATAAGCGTTAATTCACTCTCAACCTTGGTAAAATTTCACCTCGATGGCAATGCTTAGCCCTCTTTGGTTCTCTTGATAAAGAAATGTTAAACAGTATGTTGATTCCTTTTCACTATCTGCTTGGAATTTTAGCAGTGAAAACACATATTCCCCACTATTTTTTGGAGTAAGATGGGGCAGTAGTATTGAATGAAGGCCGAGTGGCGTTTAAACCACTTTCATATTTATTTTTATATTACAGTCTATCTATAGCTTGAGCATTCATATTCTCCTTACAAGTTAAAATAAAATAAATAGACCTTACTTAGGATGGGTAAGAAATCTGGTCTGATTAATGGGTATACTTAAGCTCGTTCCTTAATTACTTACCCACCTTAGGGTTCGATGGCAAC